GGAACTGAGATGTGAACACATCAGCTTGCCCTGTTAAAGGATGAAAATATTTGTATCACAAATCCTAACTTGAAGGAATCCTTGCATCATCTATTTCATTTCTTTGAGCATCTTAATTAAGAGAATATTTTAACTTCCTTGGACTCATTTTTAAAAACGGAAAATAAACTAGATGTTATGTATTATTATTCCCTTTCTACATACTGTGGAATTTCCCCAGGTCATTTAATAAATGTGATTTCATTTTTTTTAAATGGTAATGAATTGTGTCTTGAATCAGATCTAAACCATACTGGCATATGGACATGTTTTTCCAGAAAAATTCTTGTTTATTTTATGAACAATCCCAGACTACCTTGTAAACATGAAAAAGAGTTCAGCTTTTGTAAAAATTTAGATACATTTTTTAAAAGTGTGTTAAATTAGGCAGTCTATAACCGTTTGGTCTAACATGATTTCTGTCACAAATACATACAGTTTTTGAGAAGTCGATTTTAAAAAATGTTTATTATCTATATAATATGTAATTTATAATTTTATTCCCAGAAATGATGATGAATCTCATATTATAAAAACAAATAATATCAGCAATATCATCTTGGAGGTTATGATGGTTCAGTAGAAGTTAAAAAAAAGTCAAGTCAAATCACTTAAGTGTCTGACCCCATTATTTTTGGTTTACATAACTATAATGATGAACATGTAGATTTAAAATGTTGCTTTTGGCCTAGCAAAGGAATGTCTAGTTATCTGAGAAAAAATTCTTTGTTTCAATTATTTGCAAAACAGTCTCATTTTTTAAAAGTTGACTTTATAAATTTAAACTTAGCATCAGACCATTTGTTAGACAAAGTTATCCCAGACAGGGTGAGCTACAGCATAAAAATCTAAAAACAGAAAAATGAAAAAAAGTCTATCAATTCAACATGAGACTGGTGAGTCATGCATAGGAATGGATGGAGAATTGTGAAATCCAGCTCTATGCTTTCAGAAGATGCCATTGAGTAGATTCACCTTAATTAAACCTCAAATCCCACTCATCCATCGAAACCATGAACCAGCTTTCAAACATACCACGTGCTTGTCAAAATTCTATTTCTTAATATAGTTCAATCATTGTGAGTAACTGGACCAATCTTTGCAGAGTTTTAAATCAAGGAACCATAGTAATATGTGTTTCTTTCATGTACAGCACTAACAATCATAAAAATGAATTAGATAGAATATTTTTTACTTATTTGAAATCAGATATTGTACAATGTAAGTTATTATACATCAGATATTGTATAATACTTGCATAACATCTAAATAGTATGAATTCATTGTCTTTTAGTTTCTAAATATGTTAAATATTTTCTCTGAAGCACAGAGGTGATAAAAATCCCATATAAACATTCTTATTTATAAAATATAGGTTATATATTTATGTACATACTTAAATATATAAATATAAAAAGACATTGTTAGGCAATGCAGGTTACAAATAATAATAAAGTAAATAGTCAAAGTGATTTTGATCCTCCTAGGAAAAGTTCTACATGCCAGTAAGAGCTTTAAATTAGCTTATTATCAATAGAAAAGGAAGGTAAGGAAATTGACAAATAAACTAGAAATAAATTTAATTTGGTGGCAAATTTGAAACACACAGGAGCTAACCCTACCAACTAGGATGTGTAGAGTCATCTGCCGTCAACAGTCACAGGCTCCAATGGCCTACGGATGGCTAAGACTCCTTCCATAAAGAACCTAGTAGAGTGCTGCAGGCCCAGGGGAGCATAACACCAAATGAAGGGAGAACTGGTCCATGTCTCTTCTATGGATACAGGGTTTATGATTAGAGTTTCTATCAGGACTTTTAGAACATCAATTTAAGAATTACTTTCGGACCAGCTATGCATGGTGCAGGGACTGGGGCACCACCGCACCATGTTGCTGCCATCTATTAGGCCTGGGTTTAGGTTCCAGGTAAACTGATCCTGGCTGGCTGGGAGTCGGGGGAAGGGCTGTAGTATTAGTGAGGACCTGCTCAAGGGCTTTCTCTCTTTTTTGCTTTCACTCTTACTCAAGCTCTCACTCTGTTTCATGAAGGAAATAAACTTTTTTCCATGTACTTTAGTTCTTTCATGATTTATTATTTACATTCAATCACTGTATATCTCTATAGCACACAATATGTTTTCCATGATATGCATGCAGTGCACATCTATATTTATTGCAGTTTATTCTCTAAGATATGGAATCTACCTAAATGCCCAAGAACTCATGAGTGGGTTGAAAAACTGGCACATATACACTATGAAATATTACTTAGCCATAAGGAACAAAGAAACCCTGTCATTTGATTCAAAGTGGAAACAAACTTTCAAAATATGAGCATTTTTTGAAGCCCCAAAATGATTACATACCTTCATGCTATCTTATTTTTTTTAAGTGTGATGAATTTACCTTTATTTATTTATTCATTTGTTTATTTCAATTTGACCACAGAAGGACAAAAAAGAGAAAGAGAGAGAGGAGAGAGAGAGAGAGAGAAAGTGAGAAAGCAGGCCACCAGGTCTGAGACTCAAACCAAGGTCAGCCAAGTGGGATTCCAGCGTCCTCAATCACCATGCCACCTGCTGGCCTCCTTCATGCTATCTTAAATAGCAGGCACATGGTATTTTTTAATACATCCTTCATGAGTGAGAACCACCACCATAAAGATCAATGATCAGGGCTAGCAAGTGGCATTGTGGTTAAGATACTGGATTCTCCCATGGCCAAACACAGTTCAAGTCCCAGACCTGGTGGCTTGAAAACCACAAGTAAATAGATAAATAAAATGTTTTAAAAATAAAGATCAATGATTACATGAGGCTGTATGTCATTCTGAATATTTTGTCTCCTTTCTTATTCATAGGTGGTCACTGAAACTAACAGTTCAACTTCTTGACATTTGTTGCTTTTGCTTTAAATAAATGTGAGAATGCTGCTTTATGAAACTACTATATTTGTACAATATTTAAGATTCCATTAACTCAAAATAGAAACCATACCAAATACGAGGGCCAGCAGATGGTGTGGCAGTTAAGGCACTGGACTCCCACATGGCCACCTGTGGTTCAAGTTCTGGACCCTGTGACCTGAAAAACATCCCAAGTGCTTGTGTGTGTGTGTGTGTGTGTGTGTGTGTGTGTGTGTGTGCCCAACATCCCAAGAGGAGAATAGAAGAGAAGTGATTGCACCATGATCATCCTCTCTAAGGGGTGATTTCTCACTTTCCCTCTTTCTGTCTCTTTCCAGCAAGCACACACCCTATGGGGAAAATAAACACTCACTATATCAAATACAATGGTTTTATTTTTTCCATGTGATAGGAGAACTTTGTTGTGCCAGCTTTTGGCAGTTATTTCAGCAATGTCTAAGAACCTTTCGCATACATCCTGAGTGACCCAGAGTCTGTAATCAGGGTATCCAAGGGACACAGTTGGTTGAAAATGAGAGACTAATGGGGGTTATACAGCTAACATACTATCCAATAAACAAAGCTAAGAGCATGTTGCTAGCAAGTCCAATGTTATACCTCAGAGGAATTCATCATCTTTCTGCATGTGTCTTTTCTGGGACAGTATTAACATTTAAAGCCAAGAATTAGAATTAATTTTTAAAAAGAGATAACTTGCTTACTGCTAATCAAAAAGTGTAACTTTTCTGCTTTTTATAGACTTTAAGCCTCAATAAACTCAGTTATTACTCTATAGAACCCTTCGTATGAACCACCTCTCCAAGTCTGTCAGATTTTTTAGAACACATATGTGAGTACAGTGAGAAGTGTGCCCATTCAACAACCAAAACCCTTCACTTATCTTTTAACTTTTTCTGTCCAAAGTCATGATATTTGTGACTTAGGAGCAAAAAAGAAAACGTGTTTTGTTGGGTAGGTTTGGTTTCCAATGTTAATCACAGAAAGACGGATAATGAGAAAATGTACATATTAATAAGGAGTACTACCCATCTGAGCCTGATGCTGGTTCCAGGGGCCAGAATGAACACCCTGGTAAGGAGGAAGGCAGCCCCGTTCCCCTCCCGACCCAAGTGCGGTGCACTGCAGTGGAGGGCTGACAGACTGGAGTTGGATTCTCAGCTCTACCCCTCACCAGTGGAAAACATTTAAAGAACAGTACTTAGCTTTGCTGAACTCCAGGGTCTTAATTTGAAAACCATACAAAAATACCTACCTCATGCAGCTGTCGCATTGCTGTGATGTGTTGCATTTATAAACAATGCCTGCCACTTTCTCCCTCATTTTCCCTCCCAGACATAGCAGCCTCTCCCGCCTTGGTGGCTGTGTGGATTGCAAAGGTTCTTGTGTTAGTTTTCTCTGTCCTTACCTTATGAGGGTGTGCAGTAAGTATCTGTTTTTTGTTTCCATCCTGACATGTAAGGGGACATTTTTGTGGACCTTTATTTTGGTGGAATAAACCGAAGAGCACAGACTGAGCTCTGGAGAGTTACAGAAAAGGGACCTTGTCTATAAAGGCACCATTCCTACCTCCAAAGAGCTTATAAATTCATGGAAGAAGTAAGTTGCATGGCAGATACCTTTGATTCTACACCTACCAGGAGGCAAGAGGACCTAGAAACAAAGGTAAGTCCATGCGTAAAAACGAACAAGATGGCAAGAGGTAGACAGAGGGGAGGAGTTTTCTGGACACTGGCAATTAGCTGATTTTTTGTACTACATATAAATCTTAAGACTTCATTAATGATCTTAGGCTTATTGTTAACACTGCTTTTGTTTTCAAATAGAACTGTGTGTGTGTACACATATGTGTGCCTGTGTGTGTATGTGTGTGTGTGTGTGTGTGTGTGTGTATGTATGTATGCAGGGTCTTCAAAATTTTAATGGAAATGCAGATTATGACAAAAATATGCATGAATTTCAAATTTTTTGTACCAAAATAAACTTTTCCTTTTCCTTTTTTCTTTCTTTCTTTCTTCCTTCCTTTCTTTCTTTCTTTCTTTCTTTCTTTCTTTCTTCCTTCCTTCCTTCCTCTTTCTTTCTTCTTTCTTTCTTTCTCTTTTTTCTCTTAAGAGACATTTTTGTTATAGGGTGTGTGTGCTAACCAGATACCCAGAGAGAAACAGAGAGAGAAAGTGAGAAATGACCCCCCCCCCAGGGAAAATAGTCATGCAATAATCCCTTCTTCATCATTCTTTCAGTGTTTTGGGTATGCACGTACACACACCCAGCGTGAGTTCCAAGTCACCAGGTCCAGGACTTGAACTGTAGTTGACCATGTGGGAGTCCAGTGCTTTAACTCCCTTTTCCTTTCATTTCATTTCCCCACAAACTTTTGAAGCACTCTCATATGTAAGGGAATGCTCCATGTATAAAGAAATATTCCACATAAAAGAAATGATAATAAAGCAATTATGTCTGGTGTTAACTTGTTAAGTACCCAAGGAGAGTGCTTGGGCTTGTTTGGTTTCTATCCTAACAGAAACTTATAGGCCATTCACAGAGTTTAGTTTGATCATCTGAGAGTCACTGCTGGAAGAAATGATCCTGTTCTTTCTCCACTACGTTCTCTAATGTGCTGCCAGACTAAGCCTTCCCATACTCAAACTTTTAATGGGTAAAATCTAAACGCCTACTATAAAAAATTTTTAAACATCATTCATATTGTTTCCAACTTTCTATCTTTTCTTACAACTCTTCACTAGCCTCCGAATACCCCATTATATTGGGCTGTTTGCCTATTTCCAAAGATACTATGCATTAAACACGCAAGGCTCCAATTACGTCACATATCTTTACTTTTTAATGCCATCTTTATTTTAATACAGACATGGGTTTAGGAATCTTTGCAGTTCATAGAGTACATTTCCTTCCTAATCACTGTCCTAATCCATATGCTGCCTCTGCTACAGTGATATCCTCAAACCCCGTCCTACTCAAAGTTCCACGCCTAAGTTACTCTCTGCTTTAATCTTACCCTCAATTCAGTATATATTACATTATACTGTAGTCATGTATCCACGGTGCCTTTTTTTTTCTTTTTTCTTTTTGGAGAGGTTTTTGCTATAGGGCTCTTGCCCTCACCGGAGAGACAGAGAAAGACAGACAGACAGAAAGTGAGAAATCATTCCCCAGGGGGGATGGCCACGCCATAATCCCTTCTCCTCCATTCTCCTCTCGGAATCTTGGACACGCACACACACACACACAAGAGCGGCGTGAGTTTAAGCTGCCAGGTCTGGGACTCGAACCGCCATTGACTACATGGGAGTCCAGTGATGTAGCCATTACACTAACTGCTGGTCCCTCCACCATGCCTTTAGAAGCAGAGTATAGCTCTGCTTTCAAAGTTCTAGCACAATGGTAGTGCCCATTTGAATTGAAATAATGATTTTATCAGTTAACTGCAACTTTCTGTGAAGAACACCTAAACAGGTCTCTAAAATAATTTTCTGTAATCCTTGGTTATTAGATTTCTTCAAGGTGACTGAATCATCATATTATCCAAATTCCTCTCATACAACTTTCAAATGATTATAATCTAATTTCATTTCATGTGTGAATATATAAGATATCTTGGAGCAATTTTGCAAAAATATAATAAAAGAATCAAGTAGCCAGCACCAAACAAGTTAAAGCTAAATAGAAACAGAGGTACATCAGTGCAGAGAGGAAACAGAATGAGCCACACTTCTAAGGTTCAAGAAAAAATTTTAAAAATCTAGAATTTTTGTTGAAATGGAAAGTTTGATAATCACCAGTGTAGAGCGTTTATCAGATTATGAGTTTAAACTACACCAAGGAGACATTCTGATTATATTTAGGGAAAAAGTTCCCAGTATTGTGGGCTGTTAAATAGTAACAGTTACAAAGTAAACTCCCTAGTTAGGAGAAAAACACTAGGCAGTAGGTTAGCGATCTGAGTGCAATTAACTCCACAACGCACTGCCAGAAGACCATGGAGGAACCATGCTCCTATCTGACCTTTGTCACACACGAAGGAGACAAATTTTAGGAACTGCTTTTCTTATTTGGGGTTAAAAACACAAGAGTAAGAAATTCCAATAATGGGAGAGTCAATGATGGTCTTGGAGACTTTTATTAGTCATTGGAGCAATATCATTTGTACCCAAATCACTGTTTTCTTAGCAACTGAGGAAATACATCCTTATTTTCTATTCATAAAATTCAAATTGTTTGCATACTCATAAAATGTCTGCATCACCAAGTTTTCTTAACTCCAGGATCTAAATTTAAATACTATTAGGTCGTCAGGAAAGTCATAGGTATATTTCTATGTTTTTCTAGGCAAAAATGCACCATGAATTTCCAGAAGACTCAATATATTCAAACAATCAATATGCTCTATACTGATTTACTGATTAATATGAAGGAATATAAGGAAGACAAGACACTACATCACAATCTAAAATATGCAAGGAAATTAGTTGGATAAATATTTATTTTCACATAACATTTCTTTGTGAAAAACACAATATCCTAGTCACATTTACACATTACTTAAACTTTGCAATAAATTACATTCAAGATACTTAGTAATTTTGTCCAGGAATCTGAAATTAGAAGTAAATATATAACACTACATTTTTCTTATTTTTATATAATTTGAAAATATTAGGATTAACATAAGGATAGCATTAAAATTCACACAAGAACAAAATGACTATAAAAATACTCAGAAATACAGAATTTCATTGGATATGATTGCTTATTCAAATAGGTGATCACGTGAAGCTCTTAATTCACTATGATCATTTTAAGAGAACAGTTACTGTATGAAAACACGAGGAGGCTGCTTTTGGGACTGACTGGCTAAATCGTAAAACAACGGGACTGTTTACAATATAGTATCTGTATTATAAAATACACGAAGGCAATCCATTTGGAACAGAAAGTTTTTTGCATTTTTCTTCAGCATTTATAAATACAAACTTAATTAGCTGCAAATTTTTCTTCCGATAATTTTTAGGCTCATGTTCTATTAAAAAAAATGGCTCCTTCAAGGATTATGAGAGGGATTTTTCAGGATGTATCAAAATGTTGAACCTAATAGAGGATTTATTTTTTCATTAGCTTAATTACAGGAGGAATTTTTCTCACTTTTCACTTATAAGCAGAGTATATAATACTAGTTTGTAAAAACCACAGGGCTCGGAAATATAAAATTAGACACTGAAGTATTATAAGGTTGATGGTCACTGATTACTCTTATGAACCAAAAACACTATGAGATTTAGTCTTTATTAACTTCACATTTATTTTATCTAAAATTATTTTTAGTAATGCTCAAAAATTCTGTACTTTCCTTCCTCCCTCCTATATCAGCTTAGTAAAGATGGATTACTTCATGTGGGTTGAAAACATCTATAGAACCTTCTCAAATGAAACCTGAACTTTGTATTTAAAATATTGTTTTTCCACAGCATGCACTTAATTAAAAAGTGGAAAAGATCTTTGCAGAAAAAAATACAATTAGAGACCTGCTGGCCTAGCACTAGAACACGATTAGGACTGGTGTTAGCAGTGTGTGAACATCAGTAGCGAGTGACTGTACAGGAGTGGAAGTTCACATACAACGATTTTCTACGTGGTATCCCATGAGCATGTCTATAGTAGGTTTATCGGGAAAGCATCTGTTTTCAATGGGGGAGAAATTTAACAACACATTTCTGATAAACATTTATATTGAAAATTCCACAAAACTGTTACAAAGTTATTCTAAAACATTGCATACCAGCCCCGTATTCGATCTTGTAGTCACAACTTGAATCTTAAGCAAATACTACTTGACTCTGCATTAGTGTCTGATTCTCTTTTAACAAGTAGTGAACAGGTTTCTACATGTTTTTCAAATGACTTTAAGTTTTACTTACATATAAATTTTTAAGTATTAAATGTGTCATAATAAATCAAAAAGTGCATAAATGCAATTATTTTAAAATGCTTTTAAACTAACTTTTTGATTTGGGTCTTTTGAAATAAGTCTCTAACACTAAGCTATAAAAAATAAAAAGAAGTAACACTACCTTTCAAAATTCTTCAGGATAAAATTATCAGGCAACTTCAGGTCACTAAAGTAGGAAAATACAAACTAGGTAAATATGACTTATCTCTTTAAGAAAGCTATTGCTCTCATAAAATTGACAATGAGAAGCCAGTGTTTACAAATGTCTAACTTATGGCCAGGAACACACAGATTCTTGCATCAGCTAATGTATTTGTTCACAAAGGTGTCTCATTGCTCAGAAGTTTAAATACAGAAATGAAACAAGTATTGCACTACTTACAGTATGGTGGATTTGGGATGAGAGACAGAATTTATAATACATGATCAAAGCAGTTTTATCAATAATTGTGGCACTCTTCTCATATATATGTAAAAAATAAATTGAAGATCAAGTCATAGACAAGTCTCCCTGTCAACACCTTTCCCTGAGTCAGCTTTCTTCTCTTTTCGGCTTTCAATGCTACAGGGAAAAAAAGAAGAAATGTATTACTACAATCCAGTGTGGTAGCTACTGTGATAACTCTTGCTCAGACTCAAAACCCATCAACCCCAAAGCACCACAAGAGCCCTGAGGCATTGCTCTCTCATGCTGTGAAGCATAGATAAATAGCAACAATTAAAAATCGTCTGCACTCAGGGATACAGAAACCAAGGACTACAGGAAGGGAGGGTCATTTAAAACAGACGCTTACAAAACAAAACCCAGACGTTTTTAAAAACCGTTCCAAAAGCATGCAAGATTAATACCATGGTCCTAGTTTGGGCAAATGGATCACTGATGATTGTTGAAAATGCTAGTCATGCCCCCACTTTAAGATAGCACAGACACTAGTAAATGACACAAACCAGATGTCACAGTAGGCATTTTAGCCCCTGCTGTAAGTGGCTCATCCTTCGTACTGGACTGGACCTTGCCTTTGCTGAGGTCTATGTCTTGGTCATGCAAGGCAGAAACATCTCTGGACGACGGATTACCCTGCATACTGCTTTTCAGACTCTGTGCTATCTCTTTACAGATAAACTCTCACCCTGTGTGTCAGAGAAATAGTGATTTTTACCTAACTCCTTAGAATAAACTAATTCCCAAGTGGCTTCTATTTAATCTCATCCTCTAGCAAACTTTATCAATGAACAATTTGGTAATATGACTCTCATTTTTGTCTATTTTTCAGTAACTTTCCACTGTACACATTTTCTTCTCTCATGTTGACAGTGTGCATGGAAAATTCAAATAATGCCCGAACCTGCAGTGAGCTCACAGCAAGAATGTATGTTTGCAGAGGGATGGAACTATTCACTCCTCAACTCCTTCTAGCACGGGGCAAGTCTCTCTATTTGAGGCCTGTGAGCCTCCCTGCTGCTGACACGAAGGGCAACTCACAACCGGGCTTTGAAGCCCTGAGTTGGAAGAATCCACACAATTTTACTTTTAACTTCAGCCCTAAATATAAATTTATGAACTAGTTGGTGGTGGGGATACCCTTAGTTTTATAACTCTTCTCCAAGTAATAAAGTAAACTCTTGTGCTTCTCTGGGGCCTCCTGTGCAGCTTTCTTAGTGGTCAATAACTTAAACACATTTGAAGAGTGTGTTTTTTAAATTGTTTTTCCTCCAATTCAAGCTAGAAACAGCCCTTCTCAGTTGTCACCACCACCCGGCACCATCAGGTAAGAAGTGCTGGAGCTTCTGCCATTTGTGGCACGCTGCCAGCACTGAGAGCTGGTGTGAGCGAGTGTCTACGGCGCCCGGGTTTATGCCTGCCACACTTCTCAGCACATACTACTTACAGGTCAGAGCAAAGCAAC